ATGGTTTGTGGTGATGTGTTATGGTTTGTGGTGATGTGTAATGGTTTGTGATGATGTGTTATGTTATGGTTTGTGTTTCAGGGCGAGGAAGCAAGTAAACTTGGTGAGTTATGTGTAGTACAGGTGACATGTGCCAGTAGAAGATGGCAGCTTCATCCTCTTAGTCATCATAAAAAAGGTATTGTCAATATTATCATTCTATGTTTGGATGACCATGACAGTTGTTGGAAAAACATTGTGTATTATATACAGCTGTTTCGAAATAGGAGAAGGTCAGAGTGTAGCAGAATGTGTCATTCACACACCAAAGGTTTTTGATACTGTTGTCTTCATGAACTCAGGATGGTCGCTGATAGTTTGTTTTGTTTTGTTTTTGTTTTGTTTTTTGTTTTTTTGTTTTTTTTATCGTGTTTTTTAATATCCACAATAACTTTCAGTCGTCGATCAATATGCTTTAATATCCTTTTTTGAAATAGGTACATGTACATGTCAATGATGGATAAAAAAGTGGTTGTGTGACGCCTTTATGTTATAAAATCTCTAAATACAAAAAAAAACTGTTATATGGTCAAATGGGTGTATTTGGTGTAGTTGTAAATATTTTTTGTGGTTAAGCTATCCTATTAGTAACATTATCAAGAGTTTTATAAATAGTATATATACATTTTCTTACAGATGGTCTTGTATGTGTGAGACCAGGAGAAACTGTCATGACGCAATTTAAAGCTACTAAATACCGAGGTAATGCTCGATACCCTTATGACAACTCCAACTATCCTAGCATCACCCTAGCCCTTACCCTAGCCCTGACAACCCCACCTACCCTAGCCCTGACAACCACACCTACCCTAGCCCTGACAACCCCACCTACCCTATCCCTGACAACCCCACCTACCCTAGCCCTGACAACCCCACCTACCCTAGCCCTGACGACCACACCTACCCCAAATTTGAAATTTGATATTAAAACAAATGAGGTTCTCGGAGTTTTCCAATATGTGATGTTCCAGCGTGAATCGAGTAACAGCAGAAAAGTCACTGCAAATTAAAAACTCGAGGTTTTTTAAATGAGYGTTCCATAAAAAGTGTTGGCTAATGAGGTCTGACAATATAATTTGTTTTTCGATGCGTTTGGTTTCATCAAAATTAACCCATTAATTAATACCGTGACCTGAAGCCCCTCGTTATTACTAATTTTAAAACGCTCCTTTCATCTTTTCATTTCTCGGGTTTTTGATGTTTAACTTGGTCTAGCAGACGTGATGTCGCGTGGTAAAAATAGTCCAGTCACATTCACTGTCTTTATACTTGCAGACAAACCTACAGATTCGCTGGGATTTAGTCATGTTGCTTTCACAGATGATGTGGTAAGTTACGACTATAGAACGTTAATTATAGTCATTGATCGTTAATTGGAACCGTTCTTTTTTTTATCTTCCCATACTTTATAGYAGCGAGATATCTAGTATCTCGTACCCCCTCACCCTGAAAAGTCTTTTGTCTACCTACTTCGTTTTAACTGTCAATATTTCTTTTAAAGGYTGATTGTTCCGTCAGCCCTGCTGTAGATTTCTACTTTCGTTCACATACATGGAAGGAATTACTGACTAGTGATGATTCTATGCTTGATGTTGGTCTTATCGTCTTTTGGAAGGTTTGCATTCAGTGAAAAACATTGATAAAACATGATAATGCACGATATGAAGTAATAAATGTAATGATTTGGGAAATCCGTTTATTCCGCGATTTAGATTTGCCGGTAGATGTTCTCAAAATGGACTGATTTTCCCTTAGTAGTGACATTAATTTTTGGACGTTTTTAACATAGTACTATCAAGTATTTGTTCTTATATGTCAGTGTCCATTATAGGATTCATAGTGGATGTTTGATTACTACCAACCATTTTGTAACCTTATCGTGTTTTTGTGTTTTTAGACATCATTTATAGATGAACATTTTACCAAGAAAACAGTCATGGGTCAAAGCCATGCGTCAGTACGTATACTGGCTGAGTCTGTCTCAGCTGTTCTGCCTCAGGTACGTCTTGATTCACTGACCATAAATCTTTAAGATGGTATAATTCTGTATTTTTGTTTTTTTTAACAGACTGTTGAGCTACCTCTACAGACCAGCAACCCTGCAAGCATAGACAGTAGAGAATTACTCTTACAGTATTCGTTGAAGCATTCATCGTCAATACGAAACGATTTCGCTAAAAGCAGGTAAGTACAAAAGATTTCACACGAAACAGAGAATTATACCACAAACGATTTCACACGAAACAGTGAATTATACCACAAAAGATTTAACACGGAACAGTGAATTATACCACAAACGATTTCGCACGAAACAGAGAATTATACCACAAACGATTTCACACGAAACAGAGAATTATACCACAAACGATTTCACACGAAACAGAGAATTATACCACAAACGATTTCACACGAAANGTGTCCATTATAGGATTCATAGTGGATGTTTGATTACTACCAACCATTTTGTAACCTTATCGTGTTTTTGTGTTTTTAGACATCATTTATAGATGAACATTTTACCAAGAAAACAGTCATGGGTCAAAGCCATGCGTCAGTACGTATACTGGCTGAGTCTGTCTCAGCTGTTCTGCCTCAGGTACGTCTTGATTCACTGACCATAAATCTTTAAGATGGTATAATTCTGTATTTTTGTTTTTTTTAACAGACTGTTGAGCTACCTCTACAGACCAGCAACCCTGCAAGCATAGACAGTAGAGAATTACTCTTACAGTATTCGTTGAAGCATTCATCGTCAATACGAAACGATTTCGCTAAAAGCAGGTAAGTACAAAAGATTTCACACGAAACAGAGAATTATACCACAAACGATTTCACACGAAACAGTGAATTAAAACCACATACGATTTCGCACGAAACATTGAATTATATCACAAACGATTTCACACGAAACAGTGACTTACACCAGAAACGATTTTGATTTTCTTGCCGTTTTTTGATTCAGACTTGTAAGCATCCCCATCGAGCTATTGGTGTACAACTGTTGCAGTCAAGATGTTCATGTATTTGTTGAAAGAGCCTCGAGGTAAATATGCYCATTTGCTATATTTAACATATGATATAAGTTTTATTTCATTGACGAAAAAAAGACATTTTATTATTAAAGAGATTCCCTTGTAGAAGTTAATGATTAAACTATGAGCTATCATAAATCCTGCATTCTAATTGGCGACTGAACTATGCTATATAGCTTTTTCAAAAAAAAGTTTTCGGAGCGTAACTGCGATTGCACATGTGGGTATTCCGTTTTTGAAGGAAAATAATCATTTATCGACTGAAAATCAAACCAAACATATCAAAGTCGAAAACCTTTATTTGATGGGAACGACATAATTGATGCCTTTTATGAGTGAACATTACCATCAATAATCCATACCCACAATGACTTTCGGTCGTGGAATTACTCTTCCCTGTGACAAGCTCTTTTGAACTAGCTGTATTTATGTTATACCYTATGGTCGCATTTAATGAAGCAAAAATATTCCCCAAAAACTGTTGTTTAAAATTGTTGTTTACGGTCTTTTTTCAAATTTTCCCAACAGTTTGGGTAGAGTCTACTCGCACTTTTGAGTTACCAGTTTATTGCTCATTCGGCCGAGTATGGCATCATGGACTATCAACCCGTACTCACTCTACCTTGTTATCAGTAATGTTATTATTTACATGATGGTTGTATTTAGTGAACCAACAGGTCTCGACATCTCCCAAGTAACGACGACACTTGAAGCTGATGATTCTGAATACCGACAGTTTACATGTTCGTTCGTTTTGGTCGGACAGACGTCAAGAAGACTTTGGATTAAACCTAATACTACGTTATCAATCGAGCTTAAAGCACTGATATCTCTACCTGGTGTTTATAACCTTAACCAATTATCAGTATACGCTGCACTTAATGACTCAATCAAACAAGACTTTGATATCAATACAATGACACTTCAGAAGCCTTCTCCTCCGAGTTTTATTGAAGTAGAAGACGCTAGTCATACATACAGAACTTCTACCGATGAACCTAATACATTAGGCGATCTATGAAGACATCCGCGYATATGTGTTGTATCACCTTACAGATCATGCAATCGAACCATACCTGTGCGTGCTACAAACTGTTATTCGTGGTCTACATGGTGATATATGACTGCAGACACACCATATCTGCATCCAAGAATTTTATCGAACTAACATTAAATTTTAAGATTTTATTGTAGCGATACCACGAATAATAGATAGACGACTGATATGGTCAGGGAAATGTAGCTTGTAATGTTAGTAAAGTCTTGCACAGTAAGAATATCCTTAATTGAGGACGTTAAGCCTGTGAATCGGGCCGTGATATTCCGTCAGACAAAAAGAATAAAAAAATAGAGTGAAGTCATTCAACCCGTGAAACAAAACTTTTCTATTATAGATAGTCAAATAGACAGAAAAGAAAGCAATTGAATTGGAGCGTATTTTTAGTGTAAAATCAACTTCACGGTTTTTTTGTCTTCACTCTATAAGTAGCATATCTATAACATAGGTTTAGTCCTCCCCTACTACCAATCACCGAACATCACCAGTACCCCAGTATGGGTTGGGCTTACGACAGTGACATGTCGGAGTCATGCTTTTTTATGCCGAATTTAATGAATTCAAGGTCATTTGCGGTATCTTGTCATAGGTCAAACATTTTCGAATTAAAGTGTAGAATATTAAGAAATAAATGAAAATCCAAAATTTGCTGAGATGGACAKATTATTACTGCCTATGAATAGCCTGTGAAAAGGACTAAGGGATTGTGGGACTTCTTATCGTTCCGATTTAGTGCAAATTTGTGATTAACAGCTATTTCGATTGTGTAGAGTTGCAAGGGTAAAATGCGCTCAATCTAGTATTTTTTAAATCATTAGAGTGATCGCACTTAAAGCGTGTAGCTGTACAAAATCYAAGTAGTATTAATTTGTACTAAAAGTGGACCTGAAGCAAGACGGTATTGAATGCTTCATTTGTATCAATTCAATTTAATTTGCGTACCGCATGCACGATTTACTAAATACAACTTAGTTTGTACAGTTTCACGGATTAGTGTGATCGCATTTAATCCCTACAACTGATCAAGATCACCGATCTTCGTTCAGACTGAATAGAACTGATTTCAGGGAGAAAAAAAAAACAAATCCTTTATCTTCGAACTCAGTATTTTTCTAGCACGCGCAAAATTTAGAAGAAAATTGAAAGTATGTATCAAACATTTAACTCTCTTCATAATTCATGTTATTGTTTACTTTTTGAAAATTGAGTTATTTTTCCGAGGGGGAAAACTTTTCTTTAGCAAGCCACACTTGAGGTTTTCCTATTCTGTGAAATTCTTATCGGCCTTGGTTTAAGTATGCCATGAACAGGGATAAATGTGAAGGGGTGGAGAAAACGTTGGACAAACATGAACAAAAAGATAAACACTTGTAATTCACTGGACTGAAAAATGTCAACGATGAAATCTTGACTAGAAATACTTACGTTTCTAACCATAGTCAAGAGGTTCATCGAACAACTAGACCTTTATTTAAAAGAGGAAAACATTCGATACACCCATGTTATCGACTTGTAAAACAATAAACATGAAGAAAAAACTCAAAAAGGAAGGTTAAAAGGAGAAAGAATGACTAGTTCAAACCCACCCCCATACCCACCCCCATAAGAACAAACATTCCTTTACCTCTTAGCTTTTATAAGGTTCGAATTGAACATTCGCAGATCGAAAAAAAATCAACTAAAAAAAAGGTCTTTTCAAAAAGTTGGAGGTGATGGGAAATACAAGAGAGGGCGTGAAAACTAATATCTGCGACAGAAGAAACAAGAAACAGCAAAATTAATCAAAAGGGGGTTTAATGAATACTATAACAAAATCAACACGACAATGTACTTGTTTTGTTCAAATTTTTAACAATTGTCAAGCTTTGATGCGAACAGAAAACCCTTCCTGACATAAGAAAAAGAAAAGATTCTTAGATAAAAGAAATGTGTCAAAAAGGAACAAAACAGTTTGCATTCCTTCGAAAGTTAGAACACTAATAACTTCGCTGTTGACTTCTAATAATGACCCGGCATGGCTTGTAAAAGCAGTGCAAGACGTGAGTGCTYAGTATAACCCATGGAGTATTTCATCTCTGARCTGATTTAAAACTAATCAATTGCCAAACTCATGTTTCTATTTCATTTTTCATCGAGACTGCGGTGGGTGTGAAAAAATAAAAAACAGCGATGACAAACCATTCTAATTCTTCACTCTCGCGGACATCTAACCTGTGTAGATTGTTTGGAGCTAGAATTGGGCTTTGCCCCGTTCACGAATGCTGTAAGTCATATCTTATTGCTCTTTTAGAATATCACTTTTATGTAAGTCTTGTTTGTTTCTTAACACAGGGCAAAATCTACAAGCAAGTTTGATAAGACTCAACATTATGAAAGATTGAGGTTCCGATTGGTAGCTTATTTCTTGCAATGTTTTCGTTTTCAGAAAAACTGTTCAACAAGCAATCTACCTACCTGATAAGTCCTGATGAAAACTGAAACTACTAATGATCTCGTATCACTCGACTGCAAACCTTGTTTTCTGAATAACAACTTTTTTAACCTCATTCCGTTTCTTGCCATGGAGTGTTTCTTCAACAACCAGCTTCCCTTCGTTGGTATGCTGCTAGAAACATGGCCCTCAGAAAACAACAAGTGTCTATTCAAGCAATTGACAAGGGGCTTCTCCTTCAATCAAGTCAATGCTTAACAGAGCCTAACGTTTGTCGTCCCGTCCGAAAAGATTGGAAACGATTTGAAGCACCGTGAGGCTAAAACCGCCAGTGGCAAGCAACCAATGCGCAGTATATCAATTTAAATGTGATTTGCGTGCGATGCAGACATTGGACTTACTACTCGGCACCTACATCAAAGAATTGAAGAACACAGAACGCAGGCCTCCGCAATCGGACGACACATGGCAAGAGTACATGGACTGGTTAAACCCGCTCGCTATCGAGAAATCGTTCACGATACTTAAGCGCTGTAAGAACAAATTTAATTGTCTAATCTACGGGATGCTTTATAGGAACAAAGGACCAAGCGGGTTGAACGTACAATCAGACTCGATACGCGCCAAGGTGTTTGTGTAGTTGTGTCCAACACCTATTTGACATATTGTTTTTCTTCCTTTTGTTGTTGTACGACATATATGTACAGTATTCACATAGTTGGGACGTCACGACAAATTTCCACAACGCCGAAAGCGACCACCGACCGCTCGTAATCTATATCTACATATTTGAACAATGGCTTTTATTAAAATATGTCATTCAAAAATATATTTTTTCTTAATAAATATGTTTTTAGATTAAAAAATGATCAACCAATACCGGGATTGCAATCTCACATGGCGTGGCCCAATATGAATAATACTGGAAATGATCTGAGTTTCTCGAGCAAACTCTACTTGGATACCAGCCAGTACCGTTCATAATGCTCTGCATCAAACTTCAAATAATACTACATAAAGAGTGATTCTATGGCGTTAACGGCTACTTCTTCAGCTTTTGCAGCTGTGCGCACTGTCTTGAGAACCCAACTCGCTCTTCGAACTGAAATTTCTTGTGCTTTTCTTGCCAACTTAGCGATTTGTAAAGACGAACGGGCTGCCTGTGCAGCAGCTACCAAGGCACTTGTCTGCGCAGAAGTAGCTTTTAACAAAGCTAAAATACAGAATAAATATGATTAGAACAAATTACGCAATATATTTTATGTACCTTTACTATGTTTCTACCTGTGCTTCCATATCATTCTCTGTTCACCTGTTCAACATAGTATGTTACATAGCCTGCCTGACCTGACGACCTGAGCGTCGAGTTTCTGGGTTGCCTACCTAAGCGCTGAAATGACTTGCAATTATTTTGAGGATCCTCGCCCCAAACATGACTCATACCCTCCTTTCCTAGTTACACCGCAACATGTGTAACGGCAGCAGCATCGACTTACCTTCTCTTGTTAATTTGACTTTGTGTTTATCGAGTTTTCTCAGGCTCGCTATCTGGTCTTTCTTGCCTTGTTCATATTCAGCATAGTAGTGATCTGTAAAATGATTCACATATATAAAAAACTAGTTAACAGCATCAAACAGACCTCACATATATAAAAAACTAGTTAACAGCATCAAACAGACCTCGTCTTAATATCTTTAAATATCACATTCTCTCTTTGCGGATCCAGGGAAGCGCAAGCGACAGAAACTGTGTAATCCTCGTGTTTTCTAAAATGCGATCTTTGGATTTCAATACCTTCTTTTATGCCTTGGAAAGTTGTTTTCATCCTTATAATTCCTGTATTTGCTCTCCCCTTCCCCCGACCATTACTATTCATAGGTGGAGGGAGGGTAAAAAACAGGCCAATAGTCTCCTTCACGGTTCCCTGCGCCGTCTTGAAAAGTAGCCATGCCTTTACATCGAAGCGATTGAGCGTGCAATGATTCACAGGCGTGCAATTATTCACAGGTATCTATCATTGC